GCTTTAACCTTTGTACTTTCAGTCATTTTTCTGCTCAAAACCTCAGTCTCACTGTTCTCTCTCACTAACACATACACATAGGGATGTTCCTAGGGGTTGTCCCAGGGAGGCGCAAAAATCTTGCCTCTCCACTCTGGCTCATAGTGGCTATGAGCCCATCCACCTGTTTCTTGGGCCGCTCCTCCATTCCTCTGGATGCCTCGGTGGAGGAAGTCCCCAGTTGGCTGGTGGCACTATTAGAAGTATGAGTGGAGGGCCCAGCAGGGCTCTGAGTGAAGGCAGACAGAGAGAGTTTCAGGAAAAGGGAAGGAGGCAGAAGGGAAAGCAGCAAGCAGAGGGAAGGAGGAAGCAAGGGAAACAGATAGAAGGACCGATGGAGGAGGAGGGAAAACAGAGCAGAGCAGGCCTAATCCTAATAGATGCAGAGAAAATCACTGGTGGGGCATGAAGGTGATGAAAAGCTAAGTTGTTGAATTTCTGGTACATGATCTCTGCCAGCTTTGGATATGATTATACAGCTCTTTGTCAAGGGCACAAGGAATGGGGGATGCCAATATGGCTCCTTGCCAAGGATACAACTCTACAAACACAAATGGTGCCTATACTTTCCAGGGGGGGAGGGAGTGGGGGAGTAGAAGCCACTGAAGTATTATTCTGAGCAGAAGAACATAGCTGGTGGGAGCAGAGATGAAGTGGTTAAGCAGCTTCTCTTCTTGCTAGTCCTCCGTCCAAGGATGCTCTTTGTTTAAAAATGAACTGTATGTGTTGTTTGTAGTCTCTTCCATCAGAGTCGAAGCATTTCTAAGAATCCAGCCCAGAATTCAAAATCTTCACAGATCTTTCTTCTTGTACAAGAAAGTTCTGTAAGAAGGGATTATAGTGTTATCTGCTCGTGTTCATAGATCTTTCTTGCACAATCCATGCCAATTTTCTGTTGCAATGTAACATTTTTCATGAGCGTTCCTCCATGGAGGAAAAATGTCAAACCTCATTGTACGCCTGTTCTTCATAAAGCTATGAGCAAACCTGCCAGCTCAACTACTTTGAAGTGTACATTTCTTCACTAGGGGCATATTACTTTCATGCGGGTACTCTCCCTCCAAATTTGTCACAAACAGAAACATCGCATCTGTCTTTACTGACATCTGCCCTCATTATGGTGTTTGGGAGACAAATGTAATCATCGTTCCAGTGCATCAAGCCATTCTAAAAATGCAAACAATAAATAACTTTAAGAGAGTTAGGCGAGGAAAGTACTCATATCTAAGAACAGAAAAAAATGCCTTGCTGAAGACCTCCTGAAGACCTTGACTGAAGACCTACATTGTCCACCTCTGCCTTCCATTAGCTCCAGCCAGAATGGCCAAGGGTCTGAGATGGTAGGAGCTGTACTCCAGCAACACCTGGAGGGCCACAGATGTCCATTCCACACCCCTGGCCTGTCTGAACCAGCACTATGCCACGGAACAGCCAGCCAATTGCCACTGGGAGCCAACAACCAGAGAATGATGAATACTGCCACCCTCATTGTTAACAGTTTATAATCTGGCTCTACTGCCTCAGTACATGGAAATTCAAAGTTTAGCTGTGATGGCTAATGCCATTAGATACTGCATCTCTCCTGCCAATTACCTTTACCTTATTGGAGTATGCCATTTCAAACTTTTGATATTTGTACCAGACATGTATGCTCATCCCTTGGTTTATTTAAACCTTAGTACTGAACACTTGGTTGGCAGTAGCTAAATGTGTGAACTGACTCTACTGAAAAAGCATTTCACTTGAGACAATGTGAGGAGATACTAAAATTCTGTGATGGTAACAACTACTTCTTCTTCTTCTTCTTCTTCTTCTTCTTCTTCTTCTTCTTCTTCTTCTTCTTTTGTGACATGTGAAGTTGATGCTATTGCACGACATATATGTTTGCATCAATCCTGTGAACCATGTTTGTAGAAGATCAGTGTAAACTTGATTTTCATCTGTGTGACATGTTGCGTTTGACAGCCTGACTACTGTTGTCCATGTACTAGTAATTTCCAGTTTGAACCACTGGAAGATGCTTTTTGTAAGATTGCTGCTGAGGTTGAACTGGAAGCTGCAGCAACTATGACATGCATCAGCTTAAGTACTCACTGCAGCAGAATATCTCTCATCATTTTATGCTGCTGTTGAAGGACTTGCACTGTTGAAAGACTTGCCACTTAGGTAGTGGGCAAAGTTCAAGATGCTAGTGCTGATGTATAAAACTTTGTATAGCTTCCAACCAAGATACCTAAAATATAATCTCACCCCTCATTTACTGTGCTCTGCAGGAAGGGACCTCCTGCAGATACCATCTCATCAGGAAGTCCATTCCATATGATGTATGAATCAAACTTTCCGAGTGGCAGCACCTGCCCTTTGGAACTCTCTCCCATTATATATCAGACTTTTACTGTATTTTCAGCACCTTCCTCTTCCAACAAACCTTTTAAGTATACATTATTTTACAGTGTTCATCTGCATTGGCCAATAAATTGGGGTTTTTTAATGTAGATTTTGTTGTTGATGTTTTTATTGTAAAACCACTTTAGGATGTTTATGGGGGAGCATTTCATTCTATAACATAGAAGTGAGCTGAAGAGCAGCTCCACCTTTGAGTTTTGTGGATGAACTTAACTTTTATGCAGATTTGGCAGGATTAAGAAGCCAGAATTGTAGTTCTGAGTTTGCACATATATAAGACAGAAATAGCCTGCAGAAAGAAGCATAAATAATCTGTTTTTGCCATGATATGTCATATCTCAAAGCATTTGTAGTAAGACACATTGCACACACTACCTCCTTTCTTCTTCTGCAGCAAGGGGGTTTCATGGCAGTGTTTTGTTTCCTGGTATGAGATTTGGAATTGCAGGTGGGAAAGAATATTGGCTAGAGTGTGCAGGATCCAGGTGCTTTATCTGAAGTCATGCATCAGTTGCTAAGTAGGGACAGCCTGGGCCTAAATTAGTTTGGATTTTGGTGCAGAATGAAGGCTGCATCTGTTTCTCTCCTCTGATTACACAGTTTCAGGGTGTGAGGCCAAAACCCAGCAAGATCCCAGGTTGATGAAGTTGTTACCTTTCAACCCATTCATGACTGAAGCAAGAATGAGTATGATTTTTTTAAAAAACTTTATAGTCAGCAGCCTTTTCCAGTGAGCTGTTCAAAAGGTTTTCTTTCAAAACCCATTTAAAATGTTACTTTTCCCAGCCTCTGGTCAATTAGTTGTTTTTCTTTTCAGATAATTGCCTTCTTTTTGTGTGTGGCTGTAATGACACAGTGGGTGAGTGAGTTTACTACCCAACTGTAGTACAGTAGGACAAGTGACATAACTGTCCTGAGAAAAAGTGGATGTTCTGGAAAAACTAATTATGCCCTGCCTCCTTAAGCTCTCAAAAATGGAAATTCAGGTATCAGAAAGCAGAAAGATAGAAAACCCCTGGAGGTTGCTATAGGGCTATTTGAAATGGCCTGGTAATGGCTTCACAATGAATATTTTAGATGTGTGTGTCTCTAAGTGTTTGGCGCTACAGATAAATCTTTCCCTAAACCTGGAGTTTGCTTTGGGCAAGCTAGGTTGCTTTGGGCAGGCTATGAAGATCTGTCTTTTACTAGGAGTGCTTAAGGAGAATGCGGAGGAGCAGTCACTGTGTTCTCTGCAACATGTGGAGCCTTGGCATATACAGAGTGATATGTGCTTTCCAACTGAGTGACCATAAACAGTCCAAAATACATATTGGGGGTTAATTAAAGCACTTCTTACTATTAAGTAGAGTGCTTCTGGGTGTTATAAATGGGCAGCGAACTCTTAGTAATTTAATTGTTGTTGTTGTTGTTGTTGTTGTTTTTAAAAAACCAACCAAACAAAACCCTGGGAAATAAATGCTTGTGCTATTTTCTGCCTTGGGTTCCAAAGCAACCTGTCCAGCGCTGGGCACTATGCACTTTAACTGGGGCTGAAGGGGGCATTCGCCAACCCCAGACAGCAATGGGCTCTGCAGTCCCTGTTGCTTCTAATTTATTTGTGCGTTTTTAAACCGCAAGGCACTGCTTGGTGCGCGTGTGAGATCTTGCGTGTGCCCATCGTCCAAACGGAACTTCTTCTACCACAGCTGGAGGTTGCTTGGGGGGGACGGCTGGAGAAGGTCTGGCCAAGCCCTTACTCCTGTGGATGTTTATAGCCGAAGTGCCTGTCTGCGTGCGTAACTAAGGCTGTCTGCCCGCCCGCCCTCCCGATGAAAAGTGTCCAGAGAGGCTGCACATTCCTTTGCAAACGTGGCGTGCCCATTTCAGCGTGAAGTGCCTGGCATGCCACACCGCCCACCCCCTCACCTACCTCGAGCAGGCGGGGCGGCAAGGGGGGTGGGAGTGGGGAGAAGCGAGCCGCTGGCTGTATAGTTGAGCCGAGTCCTAGTGGCCCTCCGAAGAGCGACGGAGGGAAAGTGCCTGGACTACGGCATGCTGCAGACGCCCCTCGCGCGCTCTGTTCCTTCCTTCCCTCCCTCCGTTTCCTTCTCTCTCTCCCCCTCTCTCTCCCTCTCGCTGCCTTTCTCTCCAGTCTAGCTTGACGCAGGCAAGATAGAAATCACAGTTAACCACCCAGCCGTCGCTGAACTGGTGCCGATGGGGCACCATTTAAGACGATGATGTTTCTTCGAAGCCTCCTCGCGTAGCCTGAATCGCCGCGCCGAGCCAAAAACAGCGCCGACTCCAAGCCAGCCAGGCTGGAGGAGGCGCGCGTTAAAAGGCTAACAGGAGCTGCGGGCGGAGGTTGCGGCGGCGGCGGCAACAGCAGCAGCAGCAGGTCGATCGGAGGAACGATTGGCAAAGTTGGCTTGAAGTGGGACAAGCGGCAGGAGGAGGAGGAGGCGGCTACTACTACTTCTTTGTGGGGCGGGGGGGAAAGTTGCCACGCGCGGAGAGGGGGGCGCAGGCAGGAGCCCCACGGAGGTGGAGGAGGAGGTGGTGGCGGAGGAGGAGGAGGAGGTTGAAGGATGGGGACGCTGCGGGATTTACAATATGCCTTGCAAGAGAAGATCGAGGAGCTGAGGCAACGGGATGCGCTCATCGACGAGCTGGAGCTGGAGCTGGACCAGAAGGACGAGCTGATCCAGAAGCTGCAGAACGAACTGGACAAGTACCGCTCGGTTATCCGGCCCGCCACCCAACAGGCGCACCAGCAAAGCTCCACCACCTTGCATGGCGAGCAGAGGACCAAGAGGCAGGCCATTTCAGCCGAGCCCACCGCTTTTGACATCCAGGACCTCAGCCATGTCACCCTGCCTTTCTACCCCAAGAGCCCACAGTAAGCCAGGGGTTAAGCGTTGTGTCCGTGTGGCGTCCCTGTGATGTGGTCTCGGTCTCTCTCTTTCTCTCTCTCCCCCCGTGTATCTGTCTCTGTCGCCCGCACTGCCCATTCACTCGCCTTGTGGATCCCTGTGCGCCGCCTTCTGCTTCCCATCGCTTTCCTCCTCAGCTTCAGAAATTGCTTCCACCCAATCTGCCTTCCCTCCCTCCTAGCGCTAAAAACTCTTTTATCTTTTGAGCTGCCCACATTTCCAACGCCACATTCCTCTGTGTCCTTTTCAGATATCAAGGTATCCAAATCCCCCTGCAGAAAAATGAGAGTTCCTAGAGTGTGGAAATGTGAAGGGCGGGGGAGCACAGTTTCTCTCATTTTATCCCCTTCTCCCTTTCTCAAAATTATCACAGCAGTAACCGCATCATCAGACTGTCTCTTCCAGTGTGGTATGTCGTTTCTGTCTGGGATTTTGATATTGTTGTGGCTTTCTGCCCTGAATTTAACTGGGGACTGCCTGCCATTTGAACTATGTGAACCAAATTCACGGACCTTTTTTTTTTTAATTGCACCCGTTTCCTATTTACAAGGTATTTATTAAAGAGAGAGGGGTGTTTTTGCTAACATGTTCTCCTATGAACCTAAGTTTTCTTTGGAACCTACTCAGGCAAAAATATTTGGGGTAGTTTCTTTAACCGTTCTGTGTGACATAAAAAGGTGACCTGGATGCTCTTTATCTGTGACATATATCTATGACTTAGTAGCTCTCTGTAAAGCTGCTTTTCACTTCTTTGCCTGCAAGGCCATCTATCTGCAAGCTGAGCATTGGTGGTATCACAAGGTAGAGGTAAGAATGTGAGCGACAACCTTCCCCACTCAGTCACTTTCCTCTTTCTGTTCCCAGTGAGAATACAAAGACTATAAGGGTTTAGACAGCCCCTTCACAGTACAGTCTTATATGTCTACTCGGAAGTAAACCGCTTTGAGTCAAATGGGGCTTACTTTCAGGTCAGTGGACACTGAATTGCCTTCTTTAGTGTTCTCTCAGAATCTGAAGAGGCAGCCTTATCTTTCTACACCTCAGAACAAGTTTCCTTTTCTACTGTGGAGAATTCTTTGTTCCTCTGACCCTCAGGTGGTTGTTGTTCTCTCCTCCTGGGTAGTGGAAAGCTTTGGGTCTATTTACTCTTTCATTTCAAACTTTGTCTGCAGTTCCTTACTGGTGTATTGAGGTGGGGGCTGTGAGGCTGCAAAGAAAGAAAGGAAACACAGAAGACCAGAGCTTAATTTCTCAAAAGAAAAGTGCCCAAGGGTCAAGCCTGCCTCTGGCCCTGACACCCTGACCCTTTAATTCAAGCTATATGGTGCCTTGTTGCAATTATTTGGTGATGAAGTAAAGGCAGGGACGCTGTGCACACTTTGCATTTATTGGTTACTGCATCCCATGTATGGGGGCAGGGGAGACTCAGTCCTTGCACTCAAAATATGTACTCTGACAGCCCATTCTCTGCATTCTTCCAAGTGACCCTGAGAAGAGTGTGGCTTACTCTTAGACCTTCATCTCTTCTGTCTTTCTTCTTGGCTGTACTGCTGTCTGAAACAGAGAGGTGCCTTAGATTTATACTGCCAGTGCTGGTCCGCATGAGTTTGCAGCCTGGGCTTTCTCTGGTACATAATTTAGTGTGTCTCTGGGGCACAGCGACACCAGTGCAGGACTTCCTTCTGATTCCTCGCCATTCGCCAGCATTACTTCTTCCTCTCATCTCTCTTGAGTCTCTTTGGAGAAGTCTGGTACGCTTCACCGTTCACAGCTCATCAAGTCCACCAAGGCAGTCAAAACTGACAAGGCTTTTTAGAAAGGAGAGCAAGGGGGGAAGGTGTCTGTTTTGCTCTTTCTGACAACCTAAGTTAGAATTTAAGAGGTGTCAAAAACTAATGCAATGTTTTTGCTTCGAAAGCAGGAAGCTATGGGTTGCAATAGTCAACAGATGTTGTGAGTTCAGTTGTTCCTTTGGACAGTATGATCCTATACACATTTAGTAAGCATTATACTCCCAAAGGGAGTAAATACAAGGGCTTTATTCTTGAGTGAAGAACACCCAACCCGTATCATTCCCTTTTCCTCAGGATAAATAAATCCAGGACTACATAATGACAAGTCTGTGGAGTAAATCCCATTGAATTGAGCCATACTTCTGAGTAAAATTGAAAAATGAGTGTTGGAAACTTACTCACATCCATAAAATATACATTGCTTTTCAGTTTCCTCATGTGGTTTCAAATTCTTGTTGGACTTTGGGGTTCTCTGAGTTACATAGTTTTTCTTTTCTCAGCTTAAGGAAAACTTTTGATCAACATAAGCTGTAGTTCTCAAGGCACATATATTTGTGTAAATCCCTTAACACCAGGTTTTTATTACTAGTGAAAACATTTTAAGAATACTCCCCCACATCATACCTTTTTCATCAGGATAAATAAATTCAGGATTACATAGCAACAACTCTGTATATGCCTATACTCATAATCATCAACACAAGTTAGAATTGCTACTCAGGATGAAGGCATGAATTGAAAGACTCACAGGAACTTACCGTGTGTAACACAATGTGTTAGAACACAGAAAATGTGTTTGATTATCTTGGGATTTCACCTCTGGGTTATCGTTACCGTCAATCCATATTTGTACATTTTTAGAACTCCCTGGTTGGCCACAGCATATGGAGGACATTATGCTGGTTATCCCTGTTGTACTAGAATGAAACTCTAGCAAATTCACTTGTGTGCTTATATGACACACACACACAAACACTTTTTCTGGCTCACACTCTGGAAGCTAAAGATGCCTCCACACAAGCTTATGATTGAGTCGCATATTCAAGAGTTGGCTCTCAGTTTGTGGCAACATTAAGGGAATCCATTGCATGTTGGAGCCGGCCATTTGGATAGGCAGTTGTCAAATTGCTCCATCATTGCCACATTTCTGTTCAACCAATGATGTGAGTAATTCCTTTCATCGGCTTTCAAGGCCAGTTTAAGCCTATCTGGGTGGACAAACAACTGGTCAGCTGGAAAGTACACTGAGGTGGCTTACAGTTTGTTTGTTTTTTTGTCAGATGAATAGCCAGCCCCATGTTAGAAGGCTCAAAGAGGCTGAAAGAAACATTGGATTTAATTTTCCAACATGCAAATTAAATCACTGAATTGTAAAGGTTCACGCAGTTAGCAAAAACAAAGAGTTTTCTCACTTCAGCGTTATGTTCCACTGAGAATACAGAATAAGTAAAATTCTGTTAAAACAAATGCCCCAGTTTACATTCAGCTCTGTGGAGACATGAAGTACTTTGTGATTCGAACACCAGGGCATACATGCTTCTACATCACCATCAACAATATATATGCAAAAACGCTCAAAGGGTAGGAGTATAAATGGTTTCCTTTGTTTCCCAGCTCCATAATGTTCTGATACATATTTTTCTATATGACTTCTGTGAAAACATTCCCTTTGTTCAAATGCCTGAGAAATGTTCCTCTTGGGATTTCCTTGTATCACTGATGCCTGCTGTCCTTCTGTATGTGATAGAAGAAAGTGATAACAGAGGATGTAAGAGGTGATTTAGCTTGTCACTTGTCAACTACCATATTTTTCGCTCTATAAGGCGCACAAGACCACACAAGACGCACCTAGTTTTTGGAGGAGGAAAACAAGAAAAAAAATATTCTGAATCTCAGAAGCCAGAACAGCAAGAGAGATCACTGCGCAGTGAAAGCAGCAATCCCTCTTGCTGTTCTGGCTTCTGGAATAGCTGCACAGCCTGCATTCGCTCCATAAGACGCACACACATTTCCCCTTACTTTTTAGGAGGGGAAAAGTGAGTCTTATAGAGCAAAAAATACAGTAATTGAATTCACTGGCTGTCATATCCAGAGCTACAGATAAAGGGGGCACGGTAGGCATATCTTGTATGGGGGAGTGTAACTTGTGGAGGGGATAATTATTCAGTTAGAGATTCTCCCTTCCAGTGGGAGTCAAAATGCAAATTGTGGGCCAGCCCATAACACAGGAACATGAGAAGCTGCTTTATGCCACTGTCTGTCCATTTGGCCTGGTATTACCTTCTCTGACTGGCAGTGACTCTCCAGAGACTCAAGCAGAGGTATTTCTCACTTGCTACCTGATTATTTTAACTGGAGATTGAACTAAGAACCTTCTTCGTGCAAAGCAGGTGAGCCATCATTACTCCAGAATATACTATTGGGGGTCCTAATCATGCCTATTTATCTAATGATGTTTCTGGCCCTTTTAAAAATAACAATACATGTTCAGGTAAGGAAGAATTTGCAAAGTGCATTTCCTTTACGGAGGACAGATTTGTGGCATCCCATTGGATTTATACATGGCTTCAGAATAAAAAAATGACCAAGCAATAAAATTAGAAGAAATGACAAAATGGGAGAGAGGTTGTGACAGTGTGTTCTGAAAAAAGGGGGAGGGAAGGTACAATACTCTCATAAAACAAAATCCTATTGGAAACCTTGTGGGCAGCAAACTGTGGAGCAACAGTCAATAAGATGCTGCTGAGTGAATGGGCATTCAGTGTAGGGAGCTCCTTATTGTCTGACATTCTTTGCAACTAGCAGAAAAATCAGGGAAGATCCATTGTGACAAAGATAAGATACGGAGCCTGAACATAGCACACAAGTCCCATTTGGCACTTACTCAGAGGATTGCCCTAGCATTCCTGATCTTGCTTCTCTCTGTGGTTTTGAAATGTCTTCAAAGGAGAGGAAGAAGAAAAAAGAATCCTTTCAGAATATTTTTCCTGTGCTTGGCTTACCTGCTCAGAAAGGACAGTTGTAATAAATCTGACTTTGAATCTTTTAAAATAAATTTGATGGAAATAATCTATTCTTGATTCTCACTTGCTGCCACAAGTTTTTGATTGAGAAATTGAAACCTCCGAAGAAGAAATACAGCGTCCTTCACATGATTCTTAATTTCCTTTCATGACTGTCCAATCAATCTTTATGTATACAGTTTGGTAATCATGAAAAAGCATGCATACTTCTTTTTTAAAAGAAGCAATTCATGGCTTATGTCAAAACACACTATGTGATTTAATTTATTAGTAGCATCCCAGTTGC